GATCAATAGATAGTCAGAACACGTCAAATTGGTGAAGGATATGCGTGCAGACGAAAAATATATCTACATCCTCGCAAATAAGTGCTCGCTAACATACAGTTTTCGAGTGGTTCGAGTCAACAGCTTTAGAGGAGTCAAAATTGAAATAGAACGAACAAAAAGAAATATGTGCCAAATTCTCGATCTCTTGTCGAGTCTATCGTATGTCTTTAAAACTGTGCTTGGGTAAGAATATCATTGAAAGATTTGTTCTACTCTTCACATTCCTTGTTTTTTTTTCTTAATAAAGAACAAGTTATTCTAGTAAATCTTGACAAAATTTGAGTTAGTTACCCGATAGAAACGAAAACGAAACGAATGCTTTCGATAGAAACTCATTCTACTTCGATACATTATTCGAACAATTTTTTAAATTAATGTTGAGAGAAAAGATAATTCGATTGAAGAAATAATCATGCTACTTATTTAAATTTCCATAACTCAAGTGTTTATCTTTTTATTTGTTAATCATCAGTAAATATTTAATCTTGAAAATCGATTGTTGTTCTTTTTATCAATATTTCTCATTAAAATACCATCGAGAAGACTGAAAGTAAATTAATCTTGACGAATTTCAATTGAGCCCTATTTGATATAATTTTTAACAAATAAGTTCAACTTCAGATCGATTTTAAAGTCTCCAATCAATCAAGTTAATTGGTCTATCATTATAACTAATATGAAAAATTCAAAACTAATTATATTTTCTCAAGAAAAGTTTGAAAAGTTTTCTTCATATATTTTCGTTTTTAAAAGGTAAATCTTCTAGAAAATTCATCGAAATTAGATCTAATGATGTGAATATCTCAGTCTGATTTTCACGAGTTAATTAATCTTATGTTCTAAAGATCATTATATTATTTATCATAAACATCAATCGATAAAACATTCTTATTCATCAATATTTGGAATATGAGAATAAAATTATTCGATAATCTTATTGATTTGAAGTTTTCAGACCTTTTTCTATATAATAATTTTTGGATTGTAGAAAAAAAATCATCAATGTCTTATGAAATAAGTCATTTATAAAAGAATTGTTATTAATATTGATAATTCATTTCAATTTCTGTTACAAGAGGGTGTGGATGGGTGTGAGTGTGAGTGTGGCTGGGTAGGTGTGGGGGTGGGGAGTATGGGTGGCTAAAGGTAATAGTGAGGATACTGTCACCATCGCCGATCCATCCCCCCACTCAACCACCCACTCTCAGGAACAATCCCTACAATTACTGCAGCTAATAACTTAACATATTGCGTAATTATGTATTGCACTTGATGCTGATCAACGTTAGTGACATTAAGAGTGAGGGTGGCGGAAAGACACTCACTCTCACCCACCTATCGAAATATTGTCTTTGTTCATCTTGACTACAATGGGTCTATAAATATAGGAACAGAAATCTTTCGAATAGAAACTCAGTGTAGAGTGCGCTAATGCATTCTATTTTGTTCAATACAATGTTCTACTACCCTTTGATCTTCAAACTAAAGTGCAAATATAAAACTATCGATAATAATGGTGCTAACTGCTCGAGTGTTTCGTGGTAACGGAAAATCATGACTATTTCCATCAAGTGGTTCAATATGGTACATTACTAAAATGGGTATTATTCTAGTAAAAATGAGAATATAGAAGCCAAATATTTGATCATCCATTGATTTGATATACACTATCGTCCACTTTCAATACTTTTCCAGAGAAGTCCATAGACAGAGATCACCATGACACCAATTGATCGATAGTTGACATAGAGCTCGAATAGCAGTGCATATTGATCAACATATACCAATATCAATATATAATGAATGAAATGACGATAATAGTTTGAGAAAATAATTAACAAAATAAAATATAATTTTTCTTTTTTAGTCGAAAGAATTTATTTATTTATTTATTTTTATAATTCATTAACGATAATAATTCTTATAGTGAAATTTATTAAGCATAGACAAGTTCTATAACAAACAACAGTATGGAATATTCTATATTTAACTTCTCTCCATTATTATAACTATCGGTTACAATCCCAGGTGATTCAATCGACTTGTAGATCCTACCGGAAACTATCGGATCCGATGTCGGATCACACCGGAATTCGTCGGGTTCCCAACTAAATTCGATCAGAACCCAACCGTATTTCACAGGATTCCTAACTAACGGATTCCGGACCGGATTACGTCGGAAAGGATTCTATCAGATCCTGTCGGAACTGTTTATCAGATAATGCCGAAACCACCAGGATCCTTTCACAGAGAAACGCCTGATAACGTAAGGCTCCGACAGAATACAGTCGGATTTCATCAGAAGTTGGCTGAATCTGTTTCGATTGCACAAGGATTCAATCAACATTTCACACAGATTTCATTCTAGCATTCTCAAAATTTTCAAAGATTTACTAGATATTTCTGACAATTTCATCCAATTTTCCTCAAGATTTCTAAAGATTTCTCAAGGATTTCATCGAGATTTCTAAAGATTTCCCCAGCATTTCATCGAGATTTCTGAAGATTTTCCTAGGATTTCATCCAGATTTCTGAAGATTTCCCAAGGATTTCATCAAGACTTATAAAGATTTCTCAAGGATTTCGTCGAGATTTCCGAAGATTTCACAAAGATTTCATCAAGATTTCTGAAGATTTCCCAAGCATTTCATCAAGATTTCTAAATGCTTGTCCAGGATTTCATCCAGATTTCTGAAGATTTCCTAAGGATTTCATCAAGATTTATAAAGATTTCTCAAGGATTTCGTCGAGATTTCTGAAGATTTCACGAAGATTTCCCAACGATTTCATCAAGAATTCTAAAGATTTTCCAAAGATTGAATCGACATTTTGAACAAATTTCACCAGGATGTTATCAACATTTCTAAAGATTGCATCAGGATGTCATCAAGAGTCTAAAGGATTTCAACTGTTTCAACTGGGATTATTCCTAGAATCCAACAATGTATATACTACGATCCTTCTTAAAATTGAACAATGCTTGTACTAAGATTGTTCCTAATATATAGAACTTAGCTACATAAAATGGCAGAATTCACTTGAAATATGAAAGTAGAGAGTTCCTTATATAGATCGATACCTGTAAAACAAAGCGGTGAATGAAATCTGGACGAAATCGGATTTCCAGATTTTTGATTTTGTTCTTGGAATTTTGTAAAAATAGGAATATCTAATTAATTGATTAGCTCATTCATCCGTCAGAATATAATCTTATTCAAGAATCCGATTCCGTAGAAAACATAATTGTATAAGGAAATACATCATTTAAAGTAAAATTAATCTAAGCAACACTTTGGAAATTTATTCAAAATATTAAAGTAGAGACTTCCTTATATAGATCGATATCTGTAAAACAAAACGGTGAATGAAATCTGGACGAAATCGGATTTTCAGATTTTTGATTTTGCTTGTCGAAATTTGTAAAAAGGGGAATATTTAATAAATAAATAAATAAATTAGTTGATTGATCTGTCAGAATATATTCTAATTCATGAATCCGACTACGTGGGAAATAATACTGGATACCCAGAACGAACAATCCGACAGTCGGATCTCGTCGGATCCTATCGGAAAAATTATCGAATTTTATGGAATCCGATGGCAATTCGTCGGAATCCTTGGTATCGGATTCCGACAGGAAGTTGTCGGATGTCGAAAAGTGTCGGAAGTGGCCGGGATCTTGTCGAAACTCTGAAAATCCGACACTTTCCAACATCCGACAACTTCCGACTAATTCCCATCGGATCCGATGGTGTGAGATCGGCCTGGGTATTCTGCATTCTAATATAATCCGACAAGTTCCGATACCAGTGATTGACCGGTTTTATCATGGAATCCGGTGTCACTTGAAACCGCAAAATCCGGCGATTTCTTGACATCAGATTCCCCGGAATCCCATCGGAAGCGAACAGATCTTGAGATCGGATCTGATTAGTTCCGAATATATGAATCTAGTGGGAACTCGATGAATCCGACCGGCGGATATCAAAGGAAAACAGTGGATAGCATCGGAATCCGACAAAAAGTAACTGACCGAATCCGATTAGCCGTATCTCAACGGATTTGAAACCTATCCGACAGGATCCGACATAGCTATTTCGACCTGGGTGTATTATCATCTGCTAGTATTCAAATAGTTGGCGTAAGCTTTTCTGACAATAGTATTAATGTTTCAAATAGCGAAAAACATAAACAGTGACTCATAACAATAAAAATGAGAAAATACCTTTTTTTTCATCTTATCTAGACTGTACAGATATATTACATGAAAAACTTTTTTTGTAGATTAGGACTAATGAATTATATCAATAAAGATGTCAAACCTTCTAGAAAAGCAATAGATTATAGTGTTGGTTGTTCTCATATTGGATCTCATTCATGGTTGTTCCAGAGAATAGTTTCGGTAGAATGGAATAGAACATTAATATACAAAAAATCGAAAAATAAAATCATCATTTTTTTTTTGTTCGAATAGTAGTCTCTTTTTGTCATGTGTTTATCTGAATATTTACTGTAAAAGCGAAAAAAAAAAGTCTAGCTTTCGTCATACAATATTGGCCATCGCTTAATATTTAAATAAATAGAAACTCAATTGAAATTTGCTTTATCTATTGAATTAGAATGTTTTCTATCAAGAATTCAAATATAACAAATTAATATTTGCCATGTAAAGAATTACAAACTATTATGATAATATATAATCATTTTTAGTTATTCGTAACCTTTTATCTTTTTATTTTCAATAGGTTTAGTAAGAACACAACATTATTTATCAATGTGTATTTTATTTTGAAAATAAATTCAAAGAATATAAATAAAATTATACGTTTTCTTTTTTCTAAATTTAGAGTATGATGTTACTCATAAATTGACATAAAAAGCTTTTGAGTTTTCACTTGTATTATTTTGATAGAAAACTATATTTATAATGAGAAGAATTTGTGAACAAAATAGAAACTCTAAGTATGGACATTTTTATAAATCTTTTGAAAAAATTCTTTATATTTTTGTTCAATAGCATATCGACGTGCTTTAAATGTTGCTGTTAAAAGTCCATTTTCAATTGTAAATGATTCTTTAATAAATTCAATTGCTTTAACTTGTTCATATGACATTAAACCACGTTCTTTACCTTCACGAATCATATCATTAAGTATAACTTGCTTTAATTTATCATTAAATTCAGGTGACATTGTTGTTTGGACATCATATCCTTCATTTTTTGCCCATTGTTTGACATAATCATCATTTAATATAACAATAGCAATAAGAAAACTTTCAAATGAATTATCATAAACAAATAATTGAGAAATAAATCGACTACGTGCATAAACATCTTCAATTTTTTCTGGTGCTACATATTCACCTTGACTTAACTATAAAATAAATGAAAAAAAAACATTTCTTTTTGGAGTTAAAACATATTGGAAATGATTCTCGATCATATTTAAAATATCAATCTTAGCTCATCTTTTTTCATGAGTTTTTTTTTCAACTAAACTTCTATCAAAATCTCATACATAACAGATGATCGAAAAATAAGGGTGTGTGGGTGTGGGTGTGGCTGTTATTGTATCCACCACAACCCACACCCACACCCAAAATTTCAGGTCAAAATACCATCTTTTGGTTTTTCCATGAGTGTCTTGCCTGAAATTGAAAATCCAGTGAATTGGTCACAAGTCAGCTTCAACAGCTCATGGGAACGAATTCTTTTAGACTTCTGCTACTGATATTGAGGTCTACTTGTGGACAAAATATGAGCTCGAAATCGAGGGAACACTTCAGGTACTTTCCTCGTCAGTTTTTGGAACCTATCTTTGGCAAGCAACTATTTTTTTGAAAAATGAATATCTTGAGAACGGAACATTGTTTTTGGCTGAAACTTTCAGGATATTCTAACGATCATTTGACCTATATATAGGCAAAATTTCAGGTCGAAATTCTATAATTTAGTTGCTCTGGCAAATAGCTACGAACGAGTCGAAAATTCAGTAAAACGGTCATCACTTTTGAAGAAAGAGCCATAAGCCCAAACTCTCATAGGCTTTTTTTAAATCTCAATATGCTCTATCGAGTGAGGTAGGAATGAATCAAAACAGAGTTGGACACTTCGGGTGGTTCCCTCGTCAGCACAATCATGACTATTTATATATTGTGATTACATTGCTCATTGTTCATTTATTTACTTATTTAGTTTTTTTTTATCTGTTTCGGTAAGCTACGGTTTGCACGTTTTAATTAGTTATTATTAAAATTTTACATAGAGCATTTACGAAGTCTTATGTTCCTGATTCATATTTATACTCTCGTAATATAGTCGGACTTAATATGTCCCCTTCAACTAGTTCATCGAATTCACTCAAAAGATTTCTACACAAAAAAAAAACAGAGTTTTTTCTAAATGCTATATATTCTTTTTTGTCTTTATCCAATAGTCACATACTGCATTAAGCCAATAGATCTTTCGCTTAATCATGTTATTTTGACACCTATAACTTTCTTGTCTTCTTATGAAGACAGTTTTCTACTTTCACTCAATTATTATCTTAATATTAGTATGTAAAAAAAAGTACACAGGCTGACGAAAATAAACGATAGGAACAGGTAGGCTGAAGAGGTTCATAGCCTGTCATGGACAGACTAGGCCTACGAAAAGTAGACCTGTTTGAATCTCTGCTGGACATGCTTCGGTTCATCGCTAAAAGTCGTAGCGAGAAATTCCACATAACATTTATTGAACACAGACTCGTTCTTGATAAGATCGATTATTTCAATCTAACAAAAGAATTTCCATATCTTTCTTATGAAAGTGTATTAAGACTACTATGATTAGATTGAAAACTTTCCACAGTCAGAAATGAATAAATAATTTTTTTTTATCAGAAAAGTTCATCAATTTCTCCCTTAGTTTGAAAAATTAATCTCGTTTTCGCCTTTGATCAAAGAAAAATATCGAATGTTGAATAGGATGAACTGATGCATCTCACTCACTCTGCTCAGAAGAGCTTCGAAAATGAGAAATTATATTTTTTATGAGAACCAAAAATTTTCTGAGAAGCTCAGTTCATCCAGCTTCCTCATGGTTACGCCATAACTATATGTGCGAGACTAAGTTTTTTTGGTCTTCGTCGTAATTATTTCAAAATATGCGCACATGAATTCCAAAAAAGCTTTCAAAATTGTGATTTTTCAATTTATTGAGTCAATGAATGTCTCACTGTATTTAGTCTTTTTTTACTCATGTTATGATCGACATAATATACAAAAAACAATTTGTTCAGATGCAATAGAACACTTAAGCACAATTTTGGTCTCAGTTTCGATACCAAGTACACTTTCCAGTTTGGTTTCATTCCAGGTCTTTTTAACCGAGATTATCATCGATCTCATACATTTCTAGATCCAAACAAACTAACTACGGTCTATACTTCTTATATTTTCATGCGATGATTTTTTTTTAATTTAACCAAATAAAATCAATGGTATTCTTTTATTAAACGATACATTAGACAATTTTTAAGTAGACTTCCAATGTCTGATTGATATACTATATCTTATTCTAAACACAATATTATGTATTATGAAAAACAAGCTACATGATTAAACGTTGCAATAAAATAAAATGACCAGACGAACGGATCACTCATGAATAATATAAAAAAAAAATGTTACACAGATTAGAAAATGCCATCAGTCATTCATCATAGTTGAATACTATGACGTGAATGTTTTTTTTTCATTGTTCTTACAGACGGAAATGAGCAAAGTATAGAGATATATAAAACGAAATGAATAAACAGTATGTGAGTGTTAAAATGAATAATTCGAATATCAATAATCCTACTATACTCGATTTACCTGATGAAATACTACTCATCATTTTCAATAAACTGAATACAATCGATGCTCTCTATTCGCTTGTGGATGTTAATGAACGATTTGGTCGATTAGTACTTAACTCACTTCATATTCGCAATCTCGATACGACCAGCATGGTTATAAAATCATATTATGATCGTACATTTTCAATAGACAATAATGTTCTTCCGAAAATATGTGAAAAAATCTTACCTCGAATTCATCATCAATTGAATAAACTTACTATTGAACAAAATTCAATGGAACGTATTCTACTTACTGTTAATTATCCTCAACTTTACTTGTTATCACTTGTTAACTTTCAAGAAGAAATACTTTTTCAATATTTAACAGGTACACTATTCATACTTTTATTCATATTAACTAACAAAATGATGAAATACTGTCATATAAATTAATAATTGTCTTTATTTTTTAAATTAAAGGTAATTCAGTTCTTCATGATCTTCTCACTCAACAAATTACACATCTTAATATTGATGTTCCATATGAGCCAAAATCAAAAACATCTGAAACTCTATCAAGTATTTTTGCATTGATTTTATCTGTATGTCAACGAATGACCAATTTGAATTTTTGTCAATTGTTTTCTGATCGAAAAGCTTCAATTTGTATTTATAACTTACCATCAACAAGTTGCATATCTTTGACCTTAACTGAATTAAAAGTTAATGTCGCAACTTTTGATGATTGTCTTTTTCTTCTTGCTGGACATCTCAAATGTTTATCAACATTGATTATTGATGTGAAAAACATATCATGGAGTTTATCAAATATAAATAATACGGTAAATATAATATCAATACTTGTATTTTGAAGAGAAACAAATTCCTAATTATATTTTCATTGTAGAAAAAACTTCCCGAATTGAAATGCTTCTCATTGACTTCAATAGAGTATGCATTCGATTATGATGATCAAATTATTCCATTACTTCGTCGAATGATAAATCTTAAAGAATTAACATTATTCTTGACAGTACTAAAACCTTACTCGACTTATATTGATGGTATTCAATTACATGATCAAATTCTTATTTATATGCCACAATTAAACAAATTTACGTTCAATATAATCACAGCTATTGTCAACAGAAACATGAAAATTGATCTCCAGTCGAATGAATATATTCAACATAGTTTTATTGGAAAAGGATATGGAGAAGTTGGTTCATGTGTCCATACTAGATCAGAGCATAACGTAGGCACGTCACATGTTTATTCACTTCCATACAAATTCGAATATTTTCTTCATCTTAATAACTCTTTTCAAGGTGATATGTTTGATACAGTCCAATATTTAACAATGATTGATGGACGTCCTTTTGAACATAATTTATTCAAGCTTATCTCTCAATGTTTTCCTCTTTTGAAAGAGTTATGTGTTGTTAATTATCAACCACAAAAAAATAAGCAACATTCATCTATATTGATTATATTTCCTCGTCTTATTCTCCTCAAACTGTTTGAAGCACATGTGGACTATGCTGAACAACTTCTCTGCGATAAAAATATTCATCTGCCTGCTTTATTGGATCTATGCATCAATTACAAATCACTTGCAATGATAACAAACAATTTTACTAATAATCCAATACGTCTCAATTGTGCTAAAATAAAAAAACTTCATATAGATCCGTTTTTACGGCCGAAAAATTTTCATAAATATTTTCCTTTATTATAATTATAAATATTGATTTTGTTAAAAATTTTTTCAATAAAATAAGGTAGTTTGTTTGAAGTAAGATATACTTGAATCAGCTAAAATCAAATCATATAATAAACGAATTCTTTTTTTTCATATATATTATGCTACAACAAAATAGCTGTATTTATTATTTTATTATTTATATACCTATTTAGCTACACTTTTAAAATTAATATCAACATGAATAATATCATTTTTACTAATAATACCATCTTTTAAATTTCAAATAGAACTAATATAATGTATTCTCATACAACAAATAAACTAATTTATTGTAAGAGTAATATTTTCATATTTGTTTGTACTAAATAATCTTTGCTTGCAGATGAAACTCCTACATATATGCTGTCCAAGTAAATGAATCCATTCGAATTCTGTTCAATTTGATCAGCTATCAGAAATTTGATAAGAATTTGGATGACCAAATTCATTCAAGGATCCAGTACCGAGATTCTAACATACATCTCGTGGAATGTAATATTTGGATATGATACAAATGATGACACTAGGATTTCGAAAGAGTTCTGAAGTTTTTTTTTCAAGTATAATAGATATCTAATAAGAACTAAAATTCAATTTTTTAGGATATCAGCTTATTCATACAGTCAATCGTAAAAATATAAATGAAGATTAAGTCACATGGAAAATGTTCCATTAGGTGAGCTCGATGATTATACTCGAAATTTTCATCTCATTTTTCCATCCATGCGTTGAACTAATTACTTTTAGATTTCAACATTGGAATTCAATCAGATCCTAACACGAAAGATCAGAATGAAATTCCATCATTCGGTTTCCGACAATCTTTCTGCAAGATTCTATCGTATTTTACAGGATTCTGATAAGACTCGAACGGAAGTCGATCCAGAGATGTCCATGGCGGCGCGGCAGCGGCAGGTTTCTTATAAACTCATCGCGGCAGCGGCAGAGTTTTTAAAAGCTCATTGCGGCAGCGGCAGCATTTTTTTCGAGGACATTGAAAAACTGCATGAATTTGATAGAATTTCATTGTTTACAAATGAAACACCCCGAGACTGAATGAATCTGATGGACTAGTACCAATATTTCTGATCCAATACAGTTGCAGCAGTGAAATTCGAAACACTTTTTTGAAAACCATCGCGGCAGCGGCAAGTTTATTACTCATCGCAGCGCGGTAACTTTTTTTTCAAATACCCCGGCGCGGCAGCGGCAGATTTTCAGTCGCGATGGACATCTCTGATTCGATCTGTCTTTACAGAATTCTATTGTTGCATTGGTTCTCTTGGGGACGTAAGATATTTTTCTCAAATTCTGTCATGAACTTGCTCGTCTATTCAAAATATACGATTATAACATGATTTGATGCCCAGACCTAGATTACGAATATAAAAAAGATCAAGTAAAAGACATCGACACATTAGAAGACCTGGAGTCTTCTAGTCTGTCTTATCGTTCATAAGTCAAAAAGGGGGGGTCTTGTATTATGTCCCTAAAAAAAGTCATATTTTTTGGTAGTCCTATCAACAAATCTTAGTTTCACTTGATTCTTGTCCAATACATCGTTAGTAAATGAGTTTGTTTCACTTATTTTATATGCGTAGAATAAGAAAGAAACATATATTATCCTGCGAAAAAAGAAAGACTATCCTTGGTAAGAAGTGTTGTTAGAACAATACCATCAATATAGCCTAGCATCTTGGTATGATATCCAATAGCGTTCTTTTTTCACAAGGCTAAGACCTATCGCTATCAACATTTTACCTTCTCAATAACTAAATAAATGTAAAAAAAAAAAAAAGAAAATTAATTTTTTTTTATCAGACTCATTTAATTCAGTAGCTTATGCGGAGATTTGGTTAGTATAGATGGAATTCGTTCGCAGTGAATTCTATGACTAGCATAGTTATT